TGTGTGTGTGTGTGTGTGTGTGTGTGTGTGTGTGTGTGTGTGTGTGTAGACATACCCTGATGTACTCCAGTACTCTTTGACGATTGTTGGGCAAAACTACACACTGCACTTGGAAAAGAACAAGTGAGAAAACTTAAAATGTCTGGGATTGTGTTCTTAGCTCATTTATTTCTAACTGAGCAGGTCCATACATACTGTACTTTCTTTCTTTGTTTGCCAATATTATTGACGTAAAAAACAACTGTTCTTCTCAGAGATCTTGTCGGGAAAAACTTCTCTGTGACACACTATTCTGATCAGGGCACCCAAATCACAACTACTCCAGATCTTAGGGTATGTACCTTTGCTTTCTGTCACTTCTATTTCACTAACATGATATAATCCTGGTATTTATGATCATCTTTTATTTTAATGTGATATATCAGAACCAGGTGCCTGTGTTGTGGACATTTAGACTGTAAGCCTTAAATGTATGCTTGATTGTAAAATGGTTTAGGTTAGTTCGTCTGATAATCCGACTGAATTACCATTTTGTTTCACTTTTTTCATTTATTCTATTTCATTTACTGAATAAATGGAGATATGGACAATTCAGAGGTCTGGAATCAGGCCAAAGATTTATTTTACTGTACAGGAATGAATGAATTAAATACAGGATATCCTTTGTCACCTGCCCTGCCACATTGCTACATTTGCTTTCTTGTATTTGGTCTTTTTGCAGTTTTGTAAGATACTGGTGTGGTTAGTTTGTCCTCAGTCTAAAATCAAAGTCACAGCTCTGAACTGTTAAACACAAGAAACAGGGTTTGTAAAATGCAGATGTTCCTGCACTTATGTGTACAGTACTTCCCAAATGTACACCAAGTTACCTGCCAATGCTGTACAGTGAAATCCATTATGTCAATATCTAATTAATTCTACAGAAACTAGTCATCTTCATCATTTTCATCTACAAACGTCATGTCATTTTAGGCAATACCTGCCAGTAATTTTTTATTTCGAAACATCTGATGTCCTGAAAAACTTAAGTTTCTCAACCATAAAGTTCCCCTTTATTAAACGTGATACCACCCACTGCAATTCTTGAGTCTTATGTGGAAGAGGAATTTACATCACAGGGTGACGTAAATCGCAGTCATTTCATCTTGACACAACCATGTACAATATTTTATTCTTCAAATTAGACCACATTTTTTGCACTGTGAAAAAAACTGAGGTGTGAGTTTAAGTTTCTCCTTTGAGTCTGCGACAAATAATGAATGTCTGTTCAGGTTCACTGCTACTACCATGGGCACGTCGTGGGAGTAGAGGACTCCTCTGCCAGCGTGGGACTCTGCTCAGGATTAAAGTGAGTAATGTCAAATGTATTTTTCATTCTGTATGTCTAATTCCAAAAAAGTTTCTCAAAGTAGAGTGCCAAATTGAATGATCCCCATAACTATTTGAGACTGAAAGTCGCCCGCTGTGACTCATGACCAGTGTGTCCAATCCACTCTGTGTCTGAAAACCTGTAACCTAATCAACAAAGGGCCATGCAAAGATGCCTTCTGTCTGCTATAGAAGACTATTAGTGTCATTGTCTGTGAAGCTGGGAAGCATGATAAACAAAGGCAGGTCCAGTAATCAGTTAAATGGAGATCTGTTTGAGAATAAGACATGCTGAAGAAAAAGTTTTCCTGTGTCCACTACAGGGGGTTTGTGCGTCTCCGGGACCAAATGTACCTTCTTGAACCTCTGGCCGGCGCCGAGGCGGGACAGCAGGGTGACAGACCGAGCTCCAGAGCTCACAGTGACGAGGGTCTCCATGCCGTCTACAACTACAAACACCTGAGGAGGAAGAGGAGCTCCTGTTCCCATGGAAACACGACCACTTTCTACGATCACGGAGCTCGTCCGTCTGGACTGTTCCAGCTCGGCAGCCTGGTAAAGACGCACAGCGCGGACACATACAGAAATACACCAGGGCTTGAAGCTTACAGCTGATACCCAATATTTTGTGCTGCATTTTTACATTTAATCATTTTATGAAAAACAACAAAAAACAAGAGTGCAGTAAAATAATACTCTTAACTATAACTCTGAAAATTATCACAATACACCATTCTTGTATCATAGTAGTTCTGTATCTGCATCAAACGTATAATAAAAAACTTTTTCCCTTGATAATTTAAAAATTCACAAAAGTTTTTGTTGCACTTCACTTCAATGTAACAATTTGAGACAAACAAAGGGAAAGAATAAAGGGAACATGGTAAAAAAAAAGACAAGGACAACAAGGACATAATAGATCTGAATACATTTAAAAATGATGACATAATCTTGCACATTTCAATAGACAAATTCATACTTTTGCATCATACTAATTCCTTATGATGTACATATATTGATCCTCCTATATTTATTTTATGAGCACTTTGTAACTGTGTTTGAAAGGTGCTGTACAAATAAAGTTAGTTATTTTATCAAATTGAAATCTAACCAAAACAGATACATGTGCACACACACACACACACCTTTAGTATTGTTGATATCTTTCGCCTTTCATCTTATTCAGAAAAGCAGAGCCCAGACCAAAGACCGTACAGGAAAACCCAAGACAGTGGAGCTGGTTGTGGTGGTCGACCACACGGAGGTTTGATTCTTTCCTTTCTCTGCTTGAGCCAGTTATTGCAGATGTAGCCTATTTAAGATAATGATCTGCACGATAGACATGTCCCTTAAGAAGTAGATTATCTTTTATATCTTACATGTTGTTGGTTGTATGACTAATTCAAACAATACTTTCTTTTTAGTATAAGAAGTTTGGCAGTAAGAAGACAATAGAGGCCAGAGCGCTTGAAATAGCAAACCACGTGGACAAGGTATGTTTGTTTCTCTGTTGTTTATCAGGTAAAATGATTCAACCTTGTGATGTAAAAAAAAAAAAAAAAAAAAAAGCACTGATTTTAGAACAAAATAATCTGGGACAATAAAATAAGGGCATTCTAAAGTTCAAATGAGTTTCGAAGCTTAATATTTTGTAATTCTATGCAAATTTCCCTTCTGGACTAATAAAGTATTCCATTTGTTTTCACCAGTAATTTAGTGTATTTTCTTTGGCGGCAGATACGACTTTTAACAAGGCAGCACAGCCACGTGTCGGGCACTTCATCAGACATCATTTTCACTGTGGATTAAATACAAGAAATCTGTCCTGATACTATCTGTTCTTTACTGACTGGAATGTGACCAATCAAAGGAAGGACAAGTTCTCTCACTGTGAAAATCTAACTTTAACTGTGAATCTTCCCACCTAAGCTGTTATGTTTCACACATATCTCCCGATCCTCTTTGCATACTCAGAAAGAGAAGAGTCCAGCATGAATGCATCATCAGACTGCACTAGGCCCAGTGGTTTCCTGTGACAGCATTATAGATGATTGGTTCTGTGATTTGTAGCATTACTTGACAGTTCATTCAGTTTTGGGTTAATTTCCACTTTCCAGTTTGTGCTTACATGCTGCTCTGTTTCAGCTGTATCGCCCCGTGGGTGTTCGCGTGATGCTGGTCGGTCTGGATATCTGGTCGTACAAAGATCAGGTGGAGGTCAGCACTAACCCTGAGCTCACCCTCAGTCGCTTCCTCGAGTGGCGTCAGCGGAGCCTGCTGCCGAGGACCAAACACGACAACGCACAGTTCATCACGTAAGACGCAGCTGTTTCTAGCTCGCTACTAAAAAGACAATGCCAAGATGGTGTGTTAAATTGTTCCTCTTCCTCACTCAGAGGTGTGGATTTCGAGGGTTCCACTGTCGGCTTAGCCAACACCAATGCAATGTGCACCTCTAACTCTGGAGCTGTCAATGAGGTAAATATACATTTTTGTTTCTAAAATATAGAAATTAAAAGGAAATGAATGGGAGTTGTGATGTTAATTTCTACTGCGCTTTTGTCTACTACACACAGGATCACAACACTAACTCAATAGGAGTGGCCTCTACAATTGCACACGAGATGGGTCACAACCTGGGCTTGGCCCATGACTCCGGAAACTGTGTCTGTGGCTCCTTAACATCAAAAAGAGGCTGCATCATGGCTGAGAGCGTTGGGTACGCTCACTTTCTCACATGCACATAAACTCCCCAAAATCTATTTTTCTGTAACCCAAAGTAAAGCTTATATTTACCTTCTATTTTCTCTTTTTTCTAGCCTTGTGTATCCAGAGCTGTTCAGTAGCTGCAGTCAGCAGCAGCTCAGCAGGTTCTTGGACGAGATCAACCCTGCCTGCCTGCTGGATACTCCCGCTGCTGCTCGCATCTATGGAGGGCCAGTGTGTGGAAACGCCTTCCTGGAGCCTGGAGAGGAATGTGACTGTGGCACCGCAGAGGTTTGTGCAACACACATGGTGCATACATATAAACACACGACCAAAGCACACAAAGGAGATGGATTGTAATGATTTGCACCCCTCTGTCTGACTCATAGGAGTGCCAGAATCCTTGCTGCAATGCCACTACCTGTAAACTAAATGCAGGAGCCCAGTGTGCAGAGGGAGAGTGCTGCCACAACTGCAGAGTAAGTAATACTCACTATGTCCTCTCTACTGTAGCTGAAGTCACACCGATGATAATTGTGTTACCATATAGCTAGACACTGTCTGACTCTGCCGTCTGGCTGGTTATGTGTGAGTGTTCTTATTTCAGAAGTTGGTACATCACCATCTGTGTTTCTCTCCGCTCTGCAGCTGAAACCGACAGGCAGTGTCTGCCGACCAAAGACAGGAAACTGTGACCTGGCAGAATACTGCACTGGCTTCTCTGCCTCCTGTCCGACTGATGCCTACACCCAGAATGGCCTGTCCTGCAACCGTGGAAAAGGATACTGCTACAATGGACAGTGTCCATCACGGCAGGAACACTGCAAGAGACTCTGGGGACCAGGTATTACACTAGTGAATTACGGTTTGATTTAGATGTTCTTTGATACGGCAAGACTCTTACATCTGCAGCTATCTTGTTTGCTATGATTTCTGTTTAGATGCTGACGTAGCTCCAGATGCTTGTTTCTACAAGCATGGAAACTGCAGAAAGACACTGTTTAGCCAAAGATGTTCAAACCGGTATGTAATCAAAAGCCATAGCAGCACTGTAATAGTGCGTATTGATAGTGTGGTATCGTTGGTATCATTGCTTTGTGGTTTTTGGTTACAGAGATCAATCGTGTGGGACACTGTTCTGCTCCGGAGGCTGGGAGTTTCCAGTGACATCCAGGAAGTCCTTCTACAAAGTAGGAAATGGAGACATATGCAATGAGGCAACTATGAACCCTGAAGATAACTACCCTGCAGATCTGGGCATGGTGCCTGTTGGGACTAAATGTGGCACCAACATGGTAAGAAAACTGCCCAGGTTGCTGTTAGCAGTTAGCATCAAAAAACCTTTGTGGACTCCAGATGAATGAACTGTGTCAATGTCTTTCAGGTATGTTACAATCAACGGTGTCAAGACATCCAAAACATAAAAGTGTACGGAACTAATGACTGCTCGGCCAAATGCAACAACCACGGGGTGAGAAATCTGTTACCCTCACAACACTTTGGAGCGCTATATCGCCATGATGACATAACTGACTGTGAGTGTGATCTCTGGCAGGTTTGTAACCATGAGAGTAAGTGCCACTGTGACCCTGGCTGGGCCCCACCTTTCTGCAATGTGGAGCAGTCTGAACTCCCTGAAGGTAGAGTACAAGTCTTTATATGCTTGACCTTTTGATTGCCACGCTTGACACATGGCTGTGTGTGTCTGTTCCTCCTCCGCTCTGCTTTTCACCAGGATTTAATACTTGAAATATATCTCTCATGGACTCAAACAAATGTGCTCTGTTCTCATGAACACTAATTGAATGGAATTCCCCAGTCAGTTGGTACAAATGCAGTAATCATGTTACAGTGCATTTCGTATCCTGAGCGAGTGACGTACTCTGCAACGTGCTCATCCCTGAAGGAATATTGCCACAATCAGTGTGTGTTTGTTTGTGTGCACAGATGCAGGTCTGGTGGTGTTTATTGTGTCACTGGTGGTCGGCTTACTCCTGCTGTCGGTTCTGGTTATTGTGAGTTTGATGTGCTGCATCAAAAAAAGGCGACCTGCAAAGAGGTACAGAAAATTATTTAAAAAATATTCCTTTCTTTCAGTCTCTGTTTGGTCGCTATGTTTGTATATTCAGCCACATAGACATTTCCATCCTGTCCATTCTTTAATTTTAGCGTCTGTGTGTTTTTCTTCTTAGATGCCTCCAGTCTACCTCAGGACAATCCAACCCGTTGTTTCGGTCAAGCGGTGGTGCACGAGGCAGCCCTCGTCTCGGGTCCATGAACATCAGCCCGCCTACATTTGTTGAATCATCAGCCACTCTAGCCTGCAAACCTCTGTCCTCTGCTCCTGCCAGACCGCATACTGGAGCACCGAAGCCCAGCAGAGCAGCTCCAGTGGTGAGCTTCCAATACACAATGACAACGCATGAGCTCCAGGGATATTCTAAATCATTAACAGGCCATCATTGTTATAAAGCTGCAAAAGCCAGTAAGATTTATGGTTAAAAAAGACTAATCAAGCTTTCACCTTCACTAATCTCTGATTTTGTCTCTTACAGCCACCTAAGAAATTGTCAGCTGTACCCCTGTACCAGGTAATCTGATCTGCTGTTTTGCCTTCACTTAAAAGTAGCGTTGTGTATGTGTAGTGTTGCAGTTTTTTAGTTTTGTTTTTTTTCTACTGTATTTCAACCAATAAATAACTGGTTTCTTTAGGATGTAAGGCAGTTCATGCGGCCTGTTTCAAGCAAGCCAATCTTTGCTGAGGTAAAATTGCATATAGAAATGTCTTATTTTCTTTTTAAGGGCTCTAATAGTTTGCTTTGTTAAATTGTGTATTAATTGTTCTTTTACTTTTCTTGTCAGAATAAGCCACTACCTCCATCCAGACCTCTGCCACCACTTGCAACAACAAAACCAGTAAGTGACATTGCAAGTCATTTGACCTACAATGTCCATAATTAGCATGCACACGTTTAACTGTTCTTGCCATTACCACTTCTCTTGAAATGTGAACATCTTCTCTCTAAGATCATGAAGCCAAAGCCTCCAATGCCTCCAGTGAAGCCAAAGCCCTCTGCAGTCCGGTCTCCGCTGCCACACACTCAGCTGGTATGTATTCAGATGGCAGCAGAGTCAACTTGACTTTCCTAAATCCTCCAAATCCTGGCAGCTGGTACTCAGACATTCCTTCTGTTATTCAAGGCATTTAGGTTTATAAAGATGTTTGTGGTTTTGGACATTATCCCAACATCACAGTGTAATGAGCATGCAGTGGCTCGGTGTTGGTGAGTTAGTAAGCACATAAACTTCTCCTGACCACCACTGACTAACTAAAAAACATATGACGTTTGTTAACAGTACTTGTTTTTTTCTAGCTTGCAGGGAGAGCTGCCCTGATGCCCCCCAGCAGGCCCAGATGACAGAGGGAATAATTCAGCCTGATGTAAACACTGAGATCCTCTGACTGAGGACATTGTTGTTGTCACACCTAAGAAGAACCTAGAAATCCTCTCAGGCAGCGCTTGTCTGGTTTAAAGTGGAAGCAAGATCCACTGAAGGATCGTCAATAATAAGTGACAGAGCTTTTCTGTCAATGCTCTCCCTGAGGATTACCGCCGTCTGTGTCTTGGTTATGTAAGCCATCAGTATGTTGATTGGGAAAACTGAAGCCTTGATTGACAGACTCAACTTCATGTGCTTTATAAATGACAAGTGGCTATGCTGCCATGATGATCTGTTTTGTATTTTTATGGGAAATGTCTCTCTTCCTTGATACTGGGATACATGAATACTTAATGAGGCAATTGCACTATTGTTGATGCTGTAACTGTTTTACTGCTACTATTCCCTCACACAGGTTTTGGTACTGCTTTTAAAAGGAATAATGCTGTTACGGGATTTTAAAATGTGGCATCAACGTGGGCACTTTACAAATTGTTTTAATTTAGGAAACACCACAAAAGTTCTGACATTTTCGTGAACATTTTTGTACTAAACTCGGTATGCTTGACATTGGGAGACTGAATTTTTACACGCCGTTGTTATGTGTGTTGATTTGATACGTGTTGATTGCAGCCTAATTCTGCAAGGGATTTTATATTGCATAATCTATGCAGCAGGCACAGTCCTTCACTCATAATGCCCATGATTGTGGCCTTTCCTTACAGTGGTGATTCTGCCTTGGTTTATCCTGCAAACTTTTAAATGCAACTTCATTTGAACTGTTCCTATTTATGGAGATCTCTTCTTTTTTTTTTTTGTCTGTAAAATGGAGCTAACAATAAAAGCGAATTACCCAAATCACACGATCAGCGTTGCAGTCATTTATCCCCCAGAGGCCGTCATCTGTATTGCAGTAGTTAATTAGCGTTTGCCTAACAACGCCATAAACAACAACCTGTTGTCAAGTGAAGCTAACAAGCTCATAGCTAACTCAGTTGAGCAGTTTGGGTCTTTGAGAAAACACATGTCGCTTGAAGAATAATGGACCGAGAACTGAACGAAGATGACCTGCAGCATCTGTACGCATGGATAGACAAAATATCTCTGTCCCGGCCCAAGAGACACATCACGAGAGACTTCAGCGACGGAGGTATAAGTTAGCGTTTGGCTTTGCTAGCAGGAGGTGAAGCAGCAGGAGTAATATGACCTGTTTCGTTTACCAGCTTCCATGTGTGTTTGTTTATGTATTTACTTGAACTGACTCCGCGTCTCTGATGAACCCTCTGCAGTGATGGCTGCAGAGGTTGTCAAATATTTCTTCCCAAAGCTTGTTGACCTGCACAACTATACTGCAACAAACTCCACACAGCAGAAGCTCAGTAACTGGAACCTTCTCAACAGGCAAGACATCATAATCATCATTTGTATGTATTATTAAATATAGGTTGTGAAAAGGAAGGAAGGTGTCTGCATGAAGGCCACACAGCCACTGCCCCCTGAGTAGGAAATATTCTCATTTTCACAATCTGACTTTGTCAATATGTCCACATCGCTCCAGAACATTCTTACACAAACACACTCAACACAACAGTCGGTGTCGCAATTGTTATCACTTCATCCGAATGACAGTAAATTGTGTTGTGCTTTTGGGTAAAATGTTACAAAGACTGAGGCAGAACTTCTGTTGACCACTACCGAGGGCCTCTGCATCTGGTCATGAGAACCAATCCAACCCACACCCACTCATCCTCTCCCAGGCCAGTGATGTGGCACATAGCCAGCCAGAGTTTATGGCTCTTCACTGTAAACAAATTGGCACCTTTTGCGTTTATCATCACCGGGCATTATCATAGGTTAAACCTGCTGGAAGTAATTTATTGGTTATTCATTATTTTTATTAGAAACATCTGTGTGTGTGTTTTTTCTGTGAACAGGAAGGTGTTTTCCAAGCTGAACTTTCACGTGCCTGAGGACACAGTGAAGAGGATTGTACTGAGCACTGCGGGAGTGATAGAGCCTGTACTGAGCGCCCTCAGGGAGAAGATAGACACGAAACTGGAGCACGCTACAGATGTGTGTACTGTATGTCTATGTGTGTGTGTGCTCAGAGACATACATAGCATAAGTCCCTTCTCCTCTATATGTGAAGGCTAATTACAAAATAAATAGTTACTGTCGTCCTCTGTCTTCCATTGTTACTAGAAAAATAACCACTGAACCCCTTTTTTCCTCTGAACTCAGGATTTGGAATACTATGACACCGGAGACCAGGAGAAACCTCACACAGGTAGTTATTCTGTGATTGAATGTACACAAAACCTCGATCCACACATTTGTAACAACTTTATCCTCCGACCGACATGTCTATTGCCATATTTGACATTACGTTACATCACAGGACGTTAAGATTTCTGCAGAACTTACAACAAGAAGATCCTGTGATTAAGTCAGTGGAATAGGGAATTCAAATAGGTTATGGAAACATAGACTGCTGAATTAACAAGAATGTTATGACCGTGTTTTGACCGCACGCCTCGTGCACGATATTTTCCTTATGTGTCATTTGTGAAGTGTAATAGCTGACACAGTCAGTCTGTAACATTTACTGAAGCTGCACAGTCTTAAATGTGTCTTTTTTTTAGCACAGCGGGAATTTTGGACTATTTTAATAGTGCTGTATCTACTGGTCAGATGACAAACACAAAATCAGCATATTCAAGACACACTGAGGTGTTATTTTGTGTCCGAGAGGACTGTTTGGTGACTGATGTGAAGGCTGATTCTGCCTCTGGAATCATATTATTTCCAAGATCTTCTCTACTTCCTTCCCTCTCCAGCCTGTCATATTATTGTTAGCATTTGTGTCCTGCTCACATCTCTGTGTTAATGCTAATCTTTCCCACAGATAGCAGCGACCACACAGAGACACAGACATACCTACATTTAACAGCATCAGACAGGACAGATTAGAGAATGCCACCACCTTTAGGGAGTGAATCGGTGACATGTCTTTTTTCCGTTTCCCACACCTCATCTGTCCCTGAAACTACCCTGTAAAGCTGACCTCAGGCCAGTGCCTCCTCCCTTTGCTCTTTCCTCTTCCATCTACTCCCCATCCGCTATCAGACACACAGCCCAGGTCCTCATATCAGCTCCCAACATCACCAGATGGCCTTTATCACTAGATTGAGCTCAGCACTGCAGGACTTAAAGGCCTCCTCATTTTTCTCTTTTCTCCACCTTCTAATCTTACTTCCCTGTCTTCTCCCTCTTTCTGATTACGGTCATTGCCTATCTGCCTCCCATCCTCCTCCCTTTGCCCTAGTTGTGTCCGTAAGATTTATTGGATGAGTCCTTTAAGGTTTCTAACAACTGCAGAGTTTTTAGTTACCATGTTGTGTTCACATTATAGTTGGACAAATGTTATAGTTTTGTTTTGTTGTCTTCAGAAATCCGTCAGCCTGAAGAGATACGTGTGGCTCAGATGGCAGGAGAGACGATAAAAGATGAAAAGAGCAGAATAAAAAAAGGGTATAACCAAAAAATGTTGCTTTTAATATGACTTAAATGAATCAAAAGCAGTGCTCCTAATATTAATGTGTCTTCTGCTTTTTTATTGTATAGTAAACCGCAGCACACAGCGCAGTTTTACCCAGACATGGACCCTACTTTACGACTACTCCTGCATGAAAAAGAGCAAGCTGTCATGGCTTTGCAGGAGACTGTGGAGGTACACACACACACACACACACACACACAAACACACACACACACACACACCAATCCTGGAAACACTCGGATGACTGCAAACAAAGTCGTCTTCCGTTTTATTTCCTGTAGAGGAAGCGCTTTGTCATGAATGTAATATTGTTGCAGGTGTGTGTGTCTGTGTGTGTGTGTGTGTGAGAGAGAGAGAGAGAGAGAGAGAGAGAGAGAGAGAGAGAGAGAGAGAGAGAGAGAGACATTTAGATGTGTGATACATATGCGTCATAAGCTGTGTAAGCAGTGGTCAGTGAGTCAGTATCTGTTCAGCGGATATAACTTTTTTTCTTCTCCGCCTGTGGCTACATCTGCATGTTAGGAAAGAATAATGACACAGATGTTCAACATCTCCTTTTGCTACTTGAGGAAGTGTTCATCAGTGAGATTATTCACAGTTTTAGAAATTAACCTCACCTAGTTTAACCATATCCTTTTGCATGTGTGTGTGTGTGTGTGTGTGTGTGTGTGTGTGTGTGTGTGTGTGTAGATCCTGCAGATGAAAGTGAACAGGTTAGAGCACCTAGTTCACTTGAAGGACATGCGTATTGAAGATCTAATGCGGCATCTGGAGACATACAAAGCAAAAGGAAATAAACGCTAACATGAAAGGTGTAGGTTTCAAGAGGATGTATCTAATTTGCAGCTATTTTTGCAGATATCGCATATTACGTCTTTGTGTTTAAATCTTAGCAAATGAGAATCTACTATAAATGGTTTATGAGAATTTGAGTTGTTGATAGTTGTTTCTTTGTGAGGAGTGTGTAGAATGTGATTTTCAATTGTTTATGTGTCGACCGTCATCTCTGACCTTCTGTGCCTTTACACAGCCATGACCTCTGACCTCAAAGTGCTCAATAAATCAACTAACCTCTTTAACATTCCAAATTGTCTTTTTTAACATGACAGAGTGTAGCAAATCAGCGGAGATGAAATGAATCAAACAAAATGATATGCGGTGTTTATACACTATGACCGCCTGCCACTCGATCACTGGCCAAGTCTAAAATTACATCATTCATTTTCTATGCAACTCTTGTTCCCGTCACAAGATAGACTGCAGTTATCAATGACTTCATTTTCCAGTTTCAAGCACCATTTCCAGAATACATGCAGATGACCAAATATAGTAAACCACAGCTGACACGCATCACAGCCTGTGATCTGTCTATTGAAATATAAAGCTCACTTCCCTTTCTGAAGTATCAGGTCATGCCAGTGAGATGGGGTTGGCCGAGTTGCTCCATGTTGTCCGTCAGCGTTTGTCTGTCCCTGCGTAGTCTTTGATCCTACCCCCTCTGTTGGTGTAGAACAACAAGAGACAGGCGTCCTGCTGAGCTGTATCAGGATCTGCTGATCTTCTTCAGCTGCCTGCTGCTGTGACTGAGCTCTGTCGTGCTGATCGTCTTCATACCACCTAATCAATCACCATTATCAGGCTTTACAGCAATATAACACCGAGGTACAAATCTCATATGTCTTTCATCACTCCAAGTGAGGTGGCGAGTTAGTGAACAACTAGTTGGCAAGCTAACCACCGGCATGTTAGTCACTCAGAACAGCTCCCCAAGCTTCTTTCTGTTTATTCTGTACTGGGCCCTTTATTCTAGTATATTCAGAAGACACCATCGACTCCTGTTTTCCAACTGCCTCAAACCATTCCTCTTTTGTGGAGCAGCTTATACTCCAATGAAGTACTTTAATAAAAGTGGATGGTGAGACACAGCTTATCAGCTAAGACAGCTTCCTCCATTTTGGACTATGTCCCTTCAAAGGTCAGCACTGTCAAGGCAGCTTTCTACTGGTCAATTGTGGGAAAATGTAGAACTAAAAATTCACACACAGACCCCTTCACCTATTTGAAAAAAACAGTTTTACATGGTGTGACCAGGCCTTAACTCAAGGTAAGATATGTTCTCAGAACAAAGCCCCATCCAGAGCTAAAGAAGACATAATACAGATGTTGTACAGGCTGAGTGAAGCCTACTCTGACCTTTATATGTAAATATGTTGTAGTGCCCCTTTAAAGGTTGATTCATAATTCCCAACAGGATAATAAACAAGAACAAAGCACAAATAGGTTGATCAAAGCATTCCTAAATGACACATATCATGCAACACAGAATTAGGTTTAGAGCCTTTTTAGCTGACTCGTGAAATGACTGCAAAATCCATCCTGAGGGTCACCACAGAAATGTAGAGGAGAAAAGTGCTGAGAAATAGCAACGTTAATGTTATTTATGAGTGTGTTGTGCACCAACAACACACACATAGGATAGGAATGTGAGAGAAAGCTGCAGAGCAGAGCAGCTACTGATGATGACTCTGACTGCTGCTGATGAATCGTATTCTGCTGTTCGGGGAGTAGATTCAGATTCAGAGGCCTTCACTCGGAGATGGGGAACCACACCCTCGTATCTCTGGGGAGGGACAGATCCAGGGAGGAGTCAAGGCTAGAAGGATCATGCAGGATCTGATGATCAGGGACAAAAGGAAGGAAGGTGAAGCGCTGGCTGATCCAGGAAGCAGCAAACGTGACCTCGACACCACTTCCTGGGAAGGGAGGGGCTTTAAACCCGCTGGCTTTGCACCCGCTGGCACCAAATCAGACCATTAAAATGAGCCCAGACATCCACAAAAACACAACTCTTCAGTTAAGTAAACAAGATGAGGATGAGTGAAGATTATTTACACTCACAAACGCATGCTTTGTGATCATATATTTCTCACAAATTCAGGAAAAAACAGATCTGGGGGTCAGTCTATAACTAAGCACCCTCCTTCGGAAAAGAAAGACTGATGGTTTGTCTGTGACAGGATCTGTAAGGACTGAGAGGTCATAAGAGGAAGCTATCCCTCATCTGGTTATTCAGGCAGTGGTCACACGCATACACACTCACACACTATGACTGCTTCCAGGAAAGCCTTTGTGAACAGCTGACTGGCCTTGCTGAGGGCCGGACTTGAGGTTTAGAGACTCTTGGGATGACCATTTTACAGACTCTTCAGACAAACACATTGTGTGTTAGAACAACAGGGATTGTGTATGTATATTCAGTAAACGTTCACTGAATTATCCTTGTGTCACCACAACCACCCAGCCATCTAAATAAGTGACTAGCCAACACATGCACGTGGTATGAATTCTTACTTAACTGAAATATTTGGTGGAATAAATGACAAGATTTTGAGCTTGAGATTTTGTATTCCCTACAGTGAAAACCAGAAAATCCAAACTTGTCACTTCAGTATGTGGAGTTTAGGTGTCCCACAGAATATGGGAACTTTGAGTTTCACTTTAGTTCTCTTCTTCTGATCTGTGCACATATATCAGCAATGTGTTCCTCAGTCAGTGTAACCTCTCAGCAGATTTAATTTGTGCACAAGCTTTATTTTTCTCTTGCAGTCTTTGCATAGCTCTACATTTCTCTCAACATATTGCCCGCTTCGTATCCAACTGAGCCCATACTTCAGTGCTTATGCTCAGTTAAACTCGTCTCATTTGTACTTTAATCGCCACTCGGTAAAAATGTGTCTCAGTGATTTAAGCAGAACGTTTAGTGTTTAGCACGGTGTTAGCTTTCCTCCTGCTGGCATCCACGTGTAATGCACAACATCCATACCCCCACACACACACACACACACACAAAGCAGCGCTGCTGGAGAAGAGAGGTACCAAAATAGGTTTTATTTTACATAAGAACATTGTCAAAACTTGAAAACATTTTTGCATATAAACCTTTTAGAACAAGGAGACAATGTTTGAATTTCACAGATTGTACAAAATGTCATTGACCCCCAACAAAAAAAAAAAAAAAAGAAAATCATTGATTCATACTGTTGCATCTTTATTTAAACCCACCACCAAAGCAAATGCAGAACGCAGCCTTTAACCGCCACTCACAGGTCAAGTACACATCACAACATCGGCCGAACACGAGTAGTTAGTCCACTGCTGGTTCAGTCTTTCTCAGATAAAGTCTGTGATGTTCAGTACAGTTCAGTGTGTACGTCCAAGCTCTTGAAGAAGTCTCACAGTTAAGTTCAAATGGAGCGGTTTAGTTTAGAGGAATCACTGAATCTTTAAGTCTGGGGAAACCCATTATATTTTAAGGCTTGCATTCTGAAAAGTGGAAGTACTATATAAGAGAGCTGAACAAAATCCAAAAGCATCAAAACGGAGAATAAAAACTAGCACCAACTTGCATCTTATTGAAGCCAAAGCTCTGTCAACATTCATCTTTTAATAGAGCAACGCTGGTACTCATATCGCCACACAAAACTGATTAGAGATTAAACTAATCCTCACTTGAGAGTAAGTTAATACTGGAACTAGGAACTGTGTGCTGCCATTAAAATGATCTCGTTCAGCAGAGACTGAGAAACTTTGCAGCCTATTAATTCTTGCATTACAGAAAAATGTAAACATTGACCATAGAAAGGAGATTTTGTCTATAACATTTATACTTTGACAGACCGACATGCTCGTAATAATGTCTCAGGTGTCACATCTTCAAATCAAATCGTTACTTTCTCGTTCCACCAGATGTTCAACTGTTTTTCTTGCACAATTGTCAATGTTTAAACTTTTGAGGGTGTAAGCTCCGTCCAACACTGAGCAGCTTTTTGTTAAAAATAAAAGTAAATTTCCTGAGAATTTACATTTCCTCACATGTGAATAAGCTGTAGAGCAGAGTTGGCAGATAAATGCAGGCACTACTAATCATCTGAATCAAGCCACTACACATTTCCACAAGCATGCCCCGATAATGAAAACCAGATGGAGGAAGAAGATGTAATTCCTTCTTCACAAGAAATACAAACCACCACTTCCTCCTGTGGCACTATCACACAACTGCTTTATTGATACGCTCCCATATTAATTCACTTTTAATTGTTAATCAACTTAAATGAGCTTTTCTCTTTCTCACAGTAAATGCCACAGCAGGTCTTAGTGCATCTCAAGTCTTCACTACAACTAACAGCAAACTACCGCCAAGCTAACAGGAAAGAAACCACATTACTACCACTCTGACACCACTGTATATTTACTTTATCAACTGAGAACACTTACGTATCTGTAGGATTCTATGCAACTATATGCAAATTCGGGGACATTTTAACAAAGTCAGGCCACTTGTTTCTACAAAGCTATCGTTTAAAAATAAAACTTTCACAGATCAGTTTTCATGTCTATGATTTCAGCCAACAGGAAATGCTGTAAATGACAAATGTAAAATGTTCATAACTATTTTATGTTCATCCACAAGCAGCGTTTAATTAGAGGTCCTCACATTCATTCATGTTGAGAGAGAACTCGTGGTTTAGTGTAAGAGAAGATAGCACAGAGACGACCTGCCCACGACACACTTACACAAACCAAACTGCATTTCATTAATTAGTGTCACCTGTTAGCTTCCAGTTCAGCTTAACCAGAAATTAATTCTCAAAAATCATTTTCCATCCCTCGCCTTGCATACAACAAACAAAATAAAACGCAGCAAAGTTAAACACCGCACTGATTGCACGCCAGTGTACATTAGGGCGACAACTTGCTGTCGCCTTCCCAGGCATAAGCATTTATTATTGATGTGATTTTTAACTATGGCATCATTCTTATTCCTAAAACTTGACTTCCTCAAAAGAGTGGAAGGTAAAAAATGTTTTCCCTTTTATCTCGCCTTCCCTCGCTCTCACTTCTGCTTGTCCTTAAATTTTCACACCCTTTCTTTGCCATTTAAATTTAAGACTGAAGTGTGTTATTCATCAAACTAGCTGCGACGCTATCCCACCCATCATCTTCAGTGCAGTGCTCCCCACCTCACAGACAACACAAGTCCCCGTCGGGTCCTCCTGGCCTTTGCAGAAGCACAGCGGTGGACTCATTGCCCCTCCTTTGTTTTCAGAAAGTCCGCTTGATGAAGGGAGCGCACAGACTTCGGGGGACTGTTGCTTCCCTCTACGAACATGTTGGGGATGTCCTGGCCAAAGTAGATCTTACTGTTGGCGGCTATGGCCTGGTACTTCATCAGCTCCATGTACTCTGGGGTCAACTTCATCTGTGGAGATTTAGAAGAAAGACAACAGCACGCGAGGATTAGATTGAGGCTGGCTCATTATCAGAGCTCATCAGAATACTGGACTCCGTTAGAACCGTTTGCAGCCGATAAGCACAAACATGTTTGAGATATAAGCAACAAGATAATCTTAATAATATCCTGTAGTGTGGGATGAGCCATTATTTTAAAATATTGTCGTGTGTGCATGTTTGAGATTATTGAAAAGAACATCTGTGAAGTTTCTCCTTGTGTGTGAGATGCAACCTGATTTTAGAACTGCTGTGTTTCAATGTGACAATGTACAGCACGGCTAAACGTGAACGTAACACTGCTGCTGGCTTTTGGCTGTGGAGGTGGTTGATAGCAACATTCAGAGAAAAGAGCCGAGGTGTGACAGCACACTAGAACAGCCACATAGTCACTACACTGACCATGAGACGAGTCCATTAAGGGCTCAGCTCGGGGGACAACGACTAATCAATCATGACATGGTACGTCCCCTTTCTGTAATTCATCAGAATAACCCATATACTTATACTTTACAATGATTATATAGTAGCTTCCACAAATATACTTCCCAATAGTGTAACTCTATCTGAAAGCCATGAGATGTTGTATGTGTGTTTGTTTTTTTACCGCGTTTGCGTCAGCAAACTTTGAAGCAGTGTAATACTCAGCATCAGCTCTGGCCTTCTCCCTCGCCAAAAAGGCTGAGTCTGAAACAAAGACACAGTGTTGTATGAGACGGACACACGACGGACCAGTTCACCAGTCGCCTCCGCAAACAGGAATACACAAATCCATCTCAGGGGATTCTAACCCTCTATTTCAGAGATCCTCTTCTCCGTCTCTTTCTCCATCACCTTCTGTTGGAAATGGATCTCTGCTACCTGGGCCACTTTCTGAGCCTCTGTGGGACAGAAAAACATGCGAGTGTTAACAGATGGAGATAGTGGGGTTACACATGAGCGACTAAAAAGGGGGAAACCGCTAAAATTGTGACAACCGTCATGCAAATGAAAGCCTGGCTGGCTGATTTGCAGTAAAACAGCAGCACATTTACCAATAATGGCCCTCTTTCTTTCAGTCTCGGCTTCCTTCTCCACCACCCTCTGAGTCTGAGCCGTTACTAACAGACGAGTCTTCTCCGCTTCCCTGCATACACAAAAAAAAAGGTTCTCGCAATTATTGTATTTCCTGTGTGGCGTTCCTTGACTTGAGTGGGTGGGTAACAGAACGTGAAACGTGCACTAAGACTGCGCTACGAAGTACAGATTTACAAACTCACATGAGTTCAAAGTTCCTCCTGATAGATTCGGGGATCTTCGGCTTGGTAACACGGACCGCCTTCATCGGGATGTTGAAACCGTGCAGAAGAAAAGAAGAGAGAAAAATAAATGTACCTTCAATCAATCAATCAACATATTTTACAGTAAGCTGTTAGTTTTCAAGATAGAATTGGTCTACCGTCATGTGATGGTTGCGTTTCAATGCGTGTCTTTTGGGCTACATGTTTATATTTTACCCGATGTCATTTAAAAAACAACAGTACCAGAGAGTATATTGGCTCACAGCTCAAGCTGGCTTTATAGTTGGAGCGACCTGTTATTTAAGGGAGTTGAATTAATTTTTTTTTCCCCCAACCCACATTATGTGGAGACCCACCCTACACTGCTTCTAGTACTTATTGCCTTCTTCACAGAATTAGATTACATTTTTTGCTGATGAACAATATTGGTGGAAGGTTGGTAAGTTTATGATTTCAACTCGGATGTGGATGTTTTCACGAGGATGGCAGCTTTCTTGAAACCTGACCCACCATTGAAAAGGGCAGGCACTTAAGAAAACAATACTACTTGGCAGGTGATTGGATGAACCATCTGTCAATCAAACTCTTCCTGAAGCCAGTCGGGAGAAGAGACAAAACATTTTGGTTTTGAACAAACAGCCTCTCCGTCTCCTCATTTTATTAGGAGACTACTGCAAATACTACGATGTAATCTCGGTCTACGTTCTTTCCTTCACTGTGACAGAGAGCAGCAATCGCATCGAGAAGGTCCGCAGCGTAAATTGCGAGATGTGCGTTACTGATAAGGAGTGTGTACGATGATGTGTGTTTAAATACCTGTATTGTAAGTCCCGGCGCCATAGCAATAAGATCTTTCTGCAAAGCCGTCCTCAGGTTCTCGTCTATAATGTCTGCAAGGCAAAAAACAGCTGCTGTTTGAATACACAACATGTTGTGTATTCAAACAGAACACACAGCACCCCTAGTTGCCATTTATGTGTAGCATTAAAACGAAGCAATGCCGTCTGTTTTAACAGACAGATATATTCTCTATTGCCACAGCAGCTAAAGCGTACTCACCAAATAACTCAATGTAGACCTCCTGTAGTGTGTGCACACTGCAGAACTGATTGAGTTCATGGTGAATCTTGTTGAATATTAGGGTTTTGTCATAGTCAGCCGTGTAGTTCCTCACAATTTCCACCACTTCAAATAAACGAACAAAGGCAAACGTTGTTGTAACAGCTGGCAGCGGTCAATCAAATGAGGAAGCTTAGCGATGAAAATGATGGAGCATGTTGTACCTGCTAAAGGGACCAGCATGTTAACAACTTCTATTCTGTCAAAATAGATCATCACACCCCCGCTGTAAAGAAAAGACCAATGTTAATCTTAATGTTTCATACGTAATGATGTTCATGAATTGATCATCAATAAGCTCGGTGTTACCTCGTTCCACAAGGCACATTCTTGATCTCATCAGTTTGGAGAGTGGTCTGAAACACAGAATTAAATAACGATCACATAATCTGATAATAATAAAGATTATTCTCCAACAACACAGGCCGTTTATAAACAAGTTTCCTGTTACTAGTTTATAAAAAAACAAACTAGTAGATAAAGTAGTGTGTGCTTGTTTTAGGTTAAGCTGTGTCAATAATGCATACATTATTATATACAATATTTCCTGGGATTTTAGTTAATGGTAAAAACAAACAAACAAAAACAACCAGTTGCTGTTGTGCTGCCAAATAAATGAACAAGTAAAGGCTACAACCTGATACTATTGTAATTACTATAATATGTTAGCTAAAAAAAAAAAACTTGAAGGTTGATCAAAAATATCTCAGTGACATGAACCCTAAAACAATGTTATTATAATTCTACTTATTATAATTAAAAAGATTAAATTCTATGCATATTTAACAGCACAACAAGCGGCGCATTAACTTGGTGTAAAATAAAGCCACCGTGGTTGAACGGCAACTGTTTGCACGCTGCAGCTGATGTATTTATAGAAGATCCCATTCTGGTTTTTATGCATCAGCACCTTCTGGTTGACTCCTACATTGCACAGGCCACTGCTAACGGGCCAAAGTTCCCGGGCTGAGAGGTACGTTTACCTGCACTGATCTGTAAGTGGTAATGAAAGGCAGCATAATATGATATCCGGGACCGTTGGGAGACGTCAGCAATGCCCCACCCCTAAAACAAATACAAACAAATTATTTGGTTTGACTTCTTAACATTAGATGAACTACTGACGATATGTATAGAGGGGGGAGAAAAAGAAAAAAGGACTTAAAGTTGTTTATTCAGGTGTAACAGAAAAGTATGAGGGTGTAGTTGAAAATCTTTGCATTAAATCACAGGGTATCTCTGCTGTGTCCAACTCGTGAACACAGTCAACAATTAAGGCCTTATATCTACGTTACGTCCCATTTACTATGTTGTAGTCGGGAAGTTAAATACAATTCCCTCAAGGTCTAACCTTGGGACCAGTGAAGTGTAATTGATAGTGTTTTGATACCTGTAGTACACAGCAAGGTGTCCTTCTTCTATCTTGTGAATGGAGGAGTGCAACATGATGGCCATCACTCCCGCTATTGCTCCAAATATTGCCCCTACGTGCGGCATCGTCATCCTTGCAAGTACTGACCTACAGGCATAGAAAAAAAAACAAAAAACATAAGCATACTGAAATATTTATACAATATGTACTCAGGGCACCTTTAGCCCTGTGGTCAGATCGTCACTGTAAATGTCAGCAGCAGTACACACAGTGTTTGGTAAACCAAGCTAAAACGAAAGCAGTCTCACACAATAAGTCATACTTTCATGAAGGTTTTAATGTTTATTAACTGGATGCTCAAAACTTTACGGTCTTAAACACTGTAGTTTGTATTGTATTGCATTATACTGGGAGGTAAATCTAACATTTAGTCTATCCTCAAATGGAGGGGACAAACTATTACAAAATATTATATATACACACCTCAAAATTATTTTTTTAAAGATATAAAATGGGTAGAAACTGTATTTTAAACGTATTTTCACTGAGCCTTGTTTGACTTTGTAAGGGGTGCATATAGATATTTCGTTGAAAACTCTAGTATTACAGAACTTAACTGCATCTTTGTTAGCAAAGCAAGAATAAGGAAATGCTCTGTGTTTGTTTGAAAGTTTCGCTTTTAAACTAACAGTTCATTATACCGACGTTACACAGCTTGTTATATTATATTTTGTGTCAGTTAACACAGTTAAGTTTAACCCAGGTCAAAAGCGTTAAGTAAAACACAAGCCGCAGTCACTGCAAGTAGTTAATTTATACATCTAAGAGCTTCTGCAGCAGGTTTATGGTTACTGTGTACGTGCCAGCAAGTGTTAACCCTGTAGTGAAGGTTCAAACCGTTAGCGTAGTAGGTCATGATAACAGTACCGAGCAATGCATGATCACGAACAGTGTTCAACAGCTAACGTTAACAAACACGATTAGCTACCATTAGCTTGTAGAACCAGGCTACTTGTAAGGAAGCTAGCAAGTAGCTAGTTCCTCTGTCAACACATGAAGCGACGTGTTTGCACCACAGATTCGTTTCCTTCAACAAAACTCATTTAATTCACAATATGAAAAGGCTGACACACCACTCGGTATGTAACGTTAACATAGATTAGGCTAGCTAGATAGCTAACGTTAGCTAGCTCTCATTCTCGGGTATCGGAAGTCAGCCACTCCGTCAGTGTCCTGCAGCTAACAGCTAACGTTAGCTCAAATGATAGCATTAGCTTGTTATGCTGCAAGCGTAAACCCAACGAGTTAACTCACCTGACACAAACGCTGGAATAAAATCAATATGTAAGCGTATGAATAAATGTCTGTTTTACGCTAAATAAAAATACCGCTGTATTGAATCGTATCTTTCTGGTCTAATCATTGAACGTGCCCCTCACCCCGCCTCCCACAGGTTACGCTCTCGCTTTTTCTTGGTACGTTATGCTGCCTTCAGGGGGCTGTCGGAAATAATATGGCATTCATTTAGTCCAACTATTTGTTTAGTATAAATAAATGAAATTAAATGTGTCCTTTAAATATTCAGATGGCAATAATGTCTTGAGAGCTTTAATTTTGCCTTAATATTAACGTACAGTGGACTTAAAATTGGTATTTTATATATGACGTGTTTTATTATTTAAAAAGCAGGAAGTATTGAAATGCCAATTGGTTTTGCTTTATTTTATGCTATCGTAAAAACACATTTCAACAACAAAGTAGAGAGTAGTAAAACAATACCAAAGTGGTCCATGTGAATATTGGATACATTGTGAATCTAAATTAATGTGTGGTACAAACATTGATGCTAAATTTTGGACATTTATATATAACAATAGTAGATTTTACTAGTATAATATTACGTGAAAGGGAAGGCAGACTGCCACGTGCATCGTTATCTATCTTTTTTGGAATATTTTATTTTTCCAAGTATTTTAACAATGCATCGTTATCTATCTATCTAAATATATAAATATAAATATATACACACACACACAAATACATACATATGTATTTGTATTTGAGTGTCTGGTATCATCACAAATGAGTACACTAAAGTACTTACTAATATATTCACTGAACTGTGAAAAGTCTGCCTGCTTGGTTTAAGTGTGAAAACCACATATTAAACAACAATGTGGGCTTAATGATGGAGATCAGTATACTGTATGAGCTGAACAATAGGATATTGATTCACATACTATATTGATTTTGCAACATTTCAAAGAAATCTCCCACAGATGACAGGACTGTACACCGATGTTCTTCCTCTAATGAAAAATTAAAGATACTGTTCGGCTGAAGTATGTCCTGACTAAATGCAGTGCCTTTAACTGTGCCCGTTACTTGAATTTTGTCGTTTTCGTTTCCATTGTATGCATGATGTTACTCTTGTTCTTCTTGTCCTTGCCGTTTGCATTTCACCAGCTCCCAGGAGAGCGTTGAACCCGGGGTCTTATAAACAAGTAATTTCCTGTATGTGTGCAGGCAGTTGTCTGGTCCACTGTGTGAATGTAAATAACCGGATACTTACAACTTTCACTTGAACAACACTTGCAGAGAAAAGACTAAACATGGTATGTGCCATACATTTATAAACATTCCATCATGCATAGCTCTTCAGCAGCAATGTTTGACTCTAATCAATATTACAAGTAAAATAAATAAGTCTTGGTTACAGCTAAAACTCAATAATATACATTTAAGTTAAAACACGAATAGCTTACCATGTCATGCTGTTGTATTAGAGCATTACATGTATGTAAAAAGACACAGAATGGAATCACAAAGCTTTCAGATAGTGTCACTCTGATAAGGCACTTGTTTACAGAATACATCTCTAACTATTAACACCGAGTCTTTGGTCAGTTTCTACAGCTTCTGGGGTTGGGCCTTCACTGCTGTGTACCGAGTCCAGCTCCAGTCCTGATCCTGGAGAGAGAACAAGCATGTTAATACTGGACTACCAAACACAACCTTCTCCATCTGCCATCTACTGGACAGGATCTGTTCACATGCATGAACACACACTGCCTCACTCCTGTATACCATACCATGACACTGTGCTCCATCTCCTGGGCGGCGTCTTGCAGCAGAGATGTTAGTTGACTCAGATAACGCTGATTATCATCCAGTAACTGATTAACAGTTTCACTGCAAAAGACAAAAGAGTGTTTGAATGTGGGGATTACCACCTCTGACCCAATAAATGTCAGAATTGTTCACGTTCAAATTCACATACTACCAGTGTGCCAGAAAAAAGATCTACCATATCCCAATACATAGTATGTCAAATGCAGTATGCCAAAAATACCAGGATGTCCCTCTGCATCCGGATATACGAGCAGGATGGTCAAAGTTCAAAGTGCACTGTTATGACAAAGTAGTATGTCCCAAATGAATGCAACAGTATGTACTTTGTAAGGGCAGCTGCAGTATGTACTTAAATAAAAAAAGAAAAAGTATGCGAGTTGGAATGCAGTGTTTATCTTTCAGGATTTTGGGGCTCCATATTAAAGTTTTTTTTTTAAATGCACAATTGTTGAAACCGACACTCTGAGAAAACAGAACCTCAAGTTTCAACAACTCTAAAAACATGTTCTGCTTTGCACCTAATTTGCAATCAAACATGGCACCTTTTGCAACACACTGCTCGCAGTTTACTACTTAAGACGCAGGAATCTGACATGAAGTCATTTGTTGGGCATTTCAAAACACAGAGGTAGGGGTAGACATCGTTGTGGGTGCTGTCCAGGGCTGGATACCTGACTCAAGGCGCTTCTTCCTAAAGTCTAGCCAGGGAAGCTACTGCCTGTGCTGTTGATGAGGTCCTGGGGCCAGACTCACAGTACTTTTCTTTCCTCTGATTTTCTGTTTACTGTAGTCAATAGAGTACACACCACTAATGTAAACTGTGTGCGGAGCACGCTGTACTGATTTATTGTGAAGAAAAATAAAAAGGTTTTGTTTCAAAATGGCTCCGCAACAGTCTGGCGACCTGTCTAGGGTGTATCCTGTCAGATGGGATCGGCTCCAGCTCTTCTGTGGTTAAAGATAAAGGACGGATGGATGTTTCAAAATGTATTTGTGTTTCTGCACATGTATCTCTGCAGAATTCTCTTTATTCAGATCGCTATTATTGAGACAAAGCAGAGTGTAGTTGGTTGGACAAAATCCTTTAACATGAATAAAGTGTGTGTGCCATTTGGTGCATGAGCGTGATTTTGAAAAGTGTTTCTGTAGTTTTGAATGCAGCGGTTCATTTTGCAGGATGTATGAAGTGTTTTGTGCTTTGGGTTTGTGTTTTGCAAAAAAAAAAAGAAAAACAAAACGTATTGTCCTCAAGTAATTTGAATAGAGGGGAATACGAGTCCTGTTTCTTCTTCAAGCTACTCACTTAGAGGTGCATGGGGTGACCCCTTGTGGCAGCTTTGTGAATTGAACCAAACCCAGCAGCTGGTTTCAAAAGATCATTAATAAACTTGTACTGCTGCTCAGTGTAGATTTAAACTCATCTTCTAAAATGCAGCTACATGATGTTTTGGTGTGGCTATTCCCATAACAGTGTTTTTCAGATACAACTGTGATGTACACTTGTGACTTACCCGTCAGTGGGTTGTTGCATTAGTGACTGTGATGGAGTATTGTTCTGGGCCTAAACACACAAACACACTCTGGATTAGCTGCAGTTTGATTTGACATTTAATACTGTACTGCGGAGCTTCACGCTCCTCAGACATCACTGATAGCGGAGCATATTTTCCGGAGTGCCATTCGTTATTTACTCACACAGGCAATCTTGAGGAGGTACCAGAACTCTTTCTGTCTCTTCATTTGCATCTGCATCACTGCGGCCTCTGCAGTTTTTATGTTCTCCACCGCCCTCTCCAACTTAGGGAACAAATCCACGATGCGTTGCTTACACACGAGAATTGTACTACAGGAAAAAAAGAGAAAGATGAGGGAACACCACAAAAGACACACGGGGAACTGTTAAACAATATCTCAGATGATGAACTGAGCTGTGCATGGTTGTATATGTGTGTTTAGACTACTGGATGAATTACCTCAGGTGAGTGTACAAGTCTTTCAGCACTCTGTCTTGGTTCTGAACTGTTTGGAGAATCATCTTCACCATGTCCGAGCTGTCACTGTAGCCATGTGTGGGGTCAGGACCTGTGAGAGCACACACTTCTATGATCATCCATGTTCTATCATCTGACAGAGGCATGTAAACAAATACTACACGCGTTCTTGCTATCCACAACGACCACGCTGAGGAAGTCATTAAACAGAGGTGACCATCGTGAATGTATTTATTTGTTATACAGCTGAATTGTATCCATAGCATAATCAGATTCCACTGTAAGTGGCTATGAACAACAAAAAGCTGGAGCCCCGATAACTATTGTCTATTATTTTGAATGTGTAATGATTTGTACTTACTTTTGCATTTAGCTTTCAGTTGCTTGTAGAGTTCAATAGCTTTTACCTCACTGGAAAAAACAGCAAAGAGGGCGACAACAGTCAGATGTGTACATACATTGAAACTGTTTTTTCTTGCTGTAATCATTCCTCCTGTTCACACTGGCCATTAAATGATTCTTTCATAACATGCATCCAATCCAGTAAGTCAGAATGTGTCAACAGTCTGACTTAATAAAATCTTTTTAAAGTTTATTTGTCACTGAATTCTTTGTATTTTGAATACAGCCACCTAACTATTGTTTTATAAACAGACTTGAACAAATGTGAATTTATTTAAGGAAATGATCATAATGTGAATATAACAGAGGTACTCACAGCTGTTCCATTACATCCCCCTGTCTCCTCGCAAATGGACTCCTCTGCAACTCCACGATCTCCGAATGCAGAGCCACTATCTCTTCATCCAGATAGCCCACATGTGCAACCTACAGCGGACAACACCATTAGCATGCAGTGTTTTGAAATACCTGCAAGTGACTTCACGACTGCTAATAAGTAACAATTGTCCTACCTTTGAGAACCCATCGGCCTTCTCTTCATTTTCCTGCCAGGTCTTCAACATTTTTTCCGAAGCTTCAGAAAAAACACACAACAACAACCACAGAAAGTTCACCAAAGGCTTCATTAAAATGACTTTAAATGATGTGTCCCAGCAGGAGATTAACATCCACTCACAGATGCCAATGTGTCTCTGCTTGGTGTACTGCTCAAGGTCATTCTGGATGCTGGTCTTAAAAATAGCCAGTTTGGCTCGGAGCTGCTGTGACTGGGAGAACAGCAGGTTCTTGTACCGTGTTAAGTTGGTGTTGTAGCGCAGCAGGCTCAGCCTACACATACACAAACACAAGGTAGGCAGATGTTTCATTGTGTGGGTGCACGCATGCATGCGTGTGTGTGTGTGCACTTACATGGCAGCCCTCTGTCCCTGGTACAGACGA